ATGAAATAACTACCATCATCATGACTTCGGCTGAGCCTGATCACTAAACATAGTCACAATTGGGCTTGCTGACGGTTGTGCTCATTCATTAAAGGCGTGCCAAGCAGGATCACTGGACCCTCACCTGAGTATCCAGCCACTCTTCCCAGCCAACTAGTTCAGCCTTGGTAGACAAAAGAAAAATGAGGAAGAACACAATAGAGGGATGCTTTTGGAAGCCCTGGTCAAGAAACTCCAATGGACTTCCTTATGAATACTTGAAATTTGCCCTGTTCTGACTTTTTTCTAGTTCCCTGTCTAGAACTTGTAATGCTAATTACTCTTGCCTTTACTTCTCCTTCACATCTCCTATTCACAAGTCAAGGATTTTCTTCTTCTCTTAGAGACAAGAGTTATGCAATTTGGGAGTCTTTTAGATAGACCCACTGAAGGGGTACTCCAGTTGTGTCCCTGTTCAGCATGGAAGAAGCCAGAGAGATTGGCATCCCTATTCCCTATTGGCAAATTGGGTAACCACTTCAGAGGATGGTGTGGTAAGAATAGGAGGTAGGAATTGGCTAGGCAGTTAGGGTAAAAAGACCCCAAAGAAATGTAGCCAGTTTCTTGGCTAAAAGTCAAAATGTTCTTGGGCCTGTTAGCAACATACTCTGTTCCAAAGGCCAAAAATGTCAAAAGTATTTGGGAGCTTGTATCTAATCCTTAAAATATTTTAGGGTTACCTCTTCAGAGGGGGGGATGTTGGAGGGGAGGGAGTGGGCATGGATTTGATCAAAACACCTTATAAACTTATGAAATTCTCAAAGTTTTTGTAAAAATTGAAAGAAAAATCTAGAAACTACAAATGAGAGAAAGAAAAAAAACTGATTAAAAAAAACACCTACTCTTTAAAAGTAATAAGTAATGGTGGTATATGCCTTAATCACAGCACTCAGGAGGCTGAGGCAGCCCTGGTCTAAAAGTCAAGTTCCAGGCCAGCCAGGGCTACATAGTGAGACCCTACCTTAAAAACAAAACAAAACAAAACTCTCTTGACCCCAATTATCTTTAATGTACCACCTTATTCCTTTTTTAGTGAAATGCAATTGGATGGAACAGAGCATTTGTAAGAGCAATTATCACTTTACAAGTGCCAGCAAAGATGGGCTCTGCTCCATTTCTTTTATCCATTTGGCATCCTAAAATTCATGCGCCTAAGCCCAAATGCCAATTTCCCCCCCCCACATCCAGCTAGCCTTCTGTGTCTCAGTTCACAGTGACTCTACTCTTCTTCCTGACAAGTTGGTCACAGAGGCCATCCTGGACTCCTCTAGGTGACCACCTTACATCCATGCAGTCTTTGAAAGCTTCTTACTGGCTTTCTCTCCAAATTTCCAGAATAAACTTTAAATGTTCTTCGGGTTCCATTACTGCCTTCCTGACAGTCTCCTCACACGGGAGGCAGAATGATTGTTCCAAAATGTGATTCAGATCCTGAATCTACTTTGCTTGGAACCCTCCAGCAGTTCTTTGTGCTTTCTTAGTAGGAGCTGAGGTCCATACAGTGACTGACAGGGCCAGCTGATGCACACCACCTCTCCTTCGTTCTATTGCATACATGCAGCCTCCTCTTCACCCTTTGTGTATTACAGGATGTTCCCACCTCAGGGTATCAACATTCATTTTCTTACTGCCTGGAATGTTCTTCCTTGGGCCAGTACATTATTCATTTCTTCTCCCCCTTCAAGTTCTTGTTCAAATGCCAGCTTCTGATGGGGACCGCACTGACCATTCCAGCTGGCTCAGCACCTCCGTGCCAGCACTCCCAATCTACTCCCTTTTCCGTATCTATCACTTTTAGCACTCTACGTAATCTATTCATACATTGTTTGCCCCGTTTTCCTCTGCTGAGATGTATGCTCCATGCAGGTGCCACTTGACCTGGATCTCCGTTCTTCCTGAAGATTATTTCTTACTTGGATTACGATCTTTGGGATTTACAACAAATCTATTATCTCACATTTTCATCGAAACATTTCCCCCTCCCCAAGACAGCTGTCTTCAGTGTCTCCAGGCTTAACTGATTTTCATTATCATTTAATTTTTAACTTTTGAGAATTTCATACATGATATCGCACTTACATCATTTTCTCCCTGTTCTCTCTTCTCCAGTTCCTCCCATGGCCGCCCCTGACTCCCTCTCAACGCATGACCTCTTCTTTATTGTTACATGTATGTGTAAAACCTACTGAGTTCATTTAGTGTTGCTCACAACGTGTGTTTAGGGCTTACCAGTTGGAACTGGATAAATCTGGCTTAATTTAAAGCACAGTTTTGAATAAGGAAGGATAAGAGAGCAGAGAGTGAGGAAGGGAGCTTGAGGAGTTGGGGACAAAGCTGAATTATCCCCATCAAGAAAAGATTCAAATTCTGCCAACACAATTAAATATCAGAGAAAGGCAGCACCATCTTTTTAAGTCGATGGAACAGCTATCAGCTATGCTGCTCAGCTTCAAAGCAGCGACTCACAAACCCACAGCTGTGTGACTGCAAGTTACAGCAACAGCAAATGTATGTTAAGTGCCAATGGGGAGAATGCAAGTGTGTGTGCCTTTAAGTTATCAAATTCATCTTATTTCAAGAAGTCCTTGTTTCTATTCTAAAAAGAAAAGCTGAAGCGGTATGGAAGATGAGCCATGCATCATTTACTGTTTATAACTTGATATCCTCTTTGCTCAATAGTAAAAAAAAAAATGCCAGAAAGGTTTGTAATACTTATTAAAATAGATGGCATAGCATTATGTCATGTAATTTTATGTACATATATGAGAAGCATGACAGTGTACAACACTCAAAATAGTTCATTTTTATAAATAGACAAAAGAAAGCTAAATGGGAGATACAAGTAAATTACTGTAATTAGGATTCATTTCTAATTGGAAGATAATCAAAATTACTTGATCGTGCTTATCATTAGAGCTAAATCAATTATGGATATTTGTCATTTTAATTGTAGTTTGTTATGCTAAACAACATGCTTCATAAAAGAGAACTCACTTTAGATTATATGCGTCGTATTCAATGGAAGACTTGGGCACTGCAGGGATCATGTAAAGAAATCCGAGATGTTCATTTTCCTGTATTATTTTAATGATTTGCAAGGGGTCTTGAATATTGGCTTTAACAACTTCTTCCCGGTCATGGAAAATGTACTTAGGGTAAGTTGAAGACCTAGTCCCGAAGAGAACTCTTCTTCCAATCCCCGGACGTGGCAGTTTAGAAGGAGGAGAGAAGATATCAGCAGAGGGTCGTTGGACCTAAACAAAGTCAATTTTACATGAAAAATGAGTTTTTACAAAAATGAAAAAAAGAGACACAAAATCCCATCATATGTGAGCACTCTGAATGAAAAGCTTCAAACTGTCATTAAGGAGCGAATTCTCGGTACTCACCCCTCTCACACAAAATCGTCCTGTGGTCAGCTCCGCCTTCTTCCACTTGAACTCCATCCTTATTATATCCACATGCTACTAGCTTTCTGGGGTGCCTAGGAGCTCACCCCTCTCCCAGTTCGGCTGCTCTGTATTTGCCCTGACTGTAGTACCCCCTCTCCCATCTATTTGAAAAGCTGAACAACATAGATACTTTTCAGTGAGTAGTCTTAGCTGCCATCAAAACTCCCAGTAAGTCTGACTTGTTTGGAAAGTAAGTGCTGGCTACAGTGAGTACTAAGGATCACTGTTCTAACAGCCTTTCAGAAACATTTATTTTATCAATGAATAATAACCTGTTCCATGAACCAGTACATGTGGATTACTGAGAGGGGAGGGGATTATTAAAATGCAAGATTTAATTCAGTATGCTGGAGTAAATAAAGCCTGGGATTCTGCATTTCTGACTTATGCACAGATGGGGAACCGGCTGGCAACTGGACCTTGCTTGGAGTAGTCTGTGGTCTGTTGCACAGCTGACAAATGCTTGAACTTTTGCAAGAGATTTATTACCACAAGCTCTGTGAAGCAACTTTCCCCAAAAGTTTATATTTGTGGGGATTGGTTTTCTCTCTCTCTTGTTAAACAGATCCCGTTAAATACATTTTGAGAGAAGTCCAGCAGATTCATCAGTTCTGATGGAAATATGTCTCTGAACTCCAAAGATAAAACAGGCTTCTCTCATTTGCTGGCCAGGGATGGCTGCAGTGCCACTGTGCGCTGGTTTGAAATGACGTGCCAGACCTGATCTCAGAGCCAGGGGAAAAACGCACCCTCTGCTCTCCGTATTGCCACAAGGGCTGCTGTTGCCTCTGTCTTTAAAAGGCTAAAGTATTAGCAGAGTGTGGTGGCACACAACTTTAATCCCAGCACTTGGGAGGCAGAGGCAGGCGGATCTCTATTTTGATATATCACAGTGAAAGATTTATCGTCCTCTTTTTTTTTTTTTTTTTTTTAAAAAAAAAAAAAAAAAAAAAAAAAAAAAAAAAAGACTAAAGTATTTGGACGTGGGGGTGGATCCAGGAGGAGTTAGGGGGAGGGGTTAGGAATCAATGTAATCGAAATACACAGTATAAATTCTCAAAGAATAAACATTTTAAAAAGATAAAGACTATTACTGTATCACAAAATACATGTTTTCTTTATTATATCTTTTAAAAAGTTTTACCAATTTTTTTCTTTTTAAAAATATATTAATTTATTCTTTGACAATTTCGTGCATGAATATAATGCGTGTTTTCATCATATTCATCCCCATTCCCTTCTCTTACCCCCTCCCACTCCTCTGGACTCCTCCACCAACACATCCCCCTCCTGTTTTCATATATAACCACTGAATTTAAAAAAATTATTATTTTTATTTTATGTATATGCATATATTGCCTGCGTGTAGGTAAGTGCACCTGTGTCATGCAATGCAATTCTGACCTGTGGAAGTCAGAAGAGGCTGTCGGATCCCCTGGGACTGGAGTTACGGACAGTTGTTAGCTGCCCTGTGGGGATGGGATTCAAACCCAGGTCTTCTGCAAGAACAACCAGTGTTCTTAACTGCTGAGCCATTTCTCCAGCTCCTAAACCACTGAATTTAATTAAGGTTGTTTGTATGTGCATGGGTGTGGGGTTATTTACTGAATTTTGGGCAACTTAACTTTAAGCTAGCAGTGTTTATGGGATCTAGATTGAAAGATTTCATCAACAATAGGCTTGGACTTTTCATCTGAGCACTTCTAATTATGCAGCTTAGTGAGAAGATGTGATTCAGTTTAGCAATAGCTATGTCAACATTTGAGGTGAGAGGTTAAGGAAGCAGTTATATTCATAAAGCACACAGCCTTTGCAGTACTAATCTCTCATGGGAAACCAGTCCACTTTACTGGGTCCGTTCTCTACCAGAAGCCAGCTAGTTGACCTTTTTTCTTTCTTTCCTTACTTCTCCCCACTTTCTTCTTCCAAGTAAACATGACTGCTGCATTTCCATTCTAGATTTTTTCTGAGGAATCAATACCTGAAAAATATTCTGAAAAAAATCATTCTCCTTTTCCCTAGAACCTCCCTTTTAATAACCTTTGACTGGATTCTTCCATTACAAACAGGAAGCATGGCTCACAAGCATTCTAGTTCAGCCTTCCCTTCCATCTAAGATGCCCACACAACTTTTCTTCTTTTTCTTTAAACTCAAGAACTTGAGATTAATTTTATGCCAAATGAATTAATTATGAGCAGTCAAGCACTTTCTGATTCTATTTAGATTCTATTTCCGATTCCTCTGAGAAATGTTAAGCTTTTTCCCACCTCTGCTTCTTTCCTTGGTTACCAGGTAAGCATCTCAGCCAGTCTCTGGTGATTTCTCTCCTGTTACTCTTCACTCATGCCTTGCAAGGCAATTTATGCATTCCATAACGTCCATTAACTGCAAAAGTTGGCTTTCACCTGCTTAGTCTCTATCTTATTGCCTTTCTCCCTTTGAGAGTTGTTGGGGAACCCTGCCATTAAGGTCAGCTCCTTTCTCAGCAGGTTCCTGCCTGACTTACCTGGAAAGTGCTGCCAAGCACAGATGCTTGGCCTCATTTGAAACATGACCTTTGGCATAGTTACCTGGAGTAAAAACTACCCCCATGTTTTTTCTATATGATAATTAGGCATTGCCCGGTAGTAGGATGATAGGAGCCTACTGCCACATGTAAATAAAGCATACTATGAGCACCTATCAGCTGAAGGATTGGCTACTGTCTCCACACTATATTTTCCCTAATCTCCACTGAATAAATGGAGCTATTTCACTGAGTCTGGAGCTGTTTGTATCACTGAACCTGCCTCCATGGAAGGGCTTTCTTACGTCAGTGTTCACTGGCCGTCCCTGACCCCGTTTGTTACTTCTGCTCCCTTTGTCCTCGTGGACCGGTGGCCAACGACCCATGAGGGGAGGGAGAGACCCCACAGAGAGTTTTCAAATTTTCCCCATTTCTGGTAAAAAGTATTATAAATGATTATATAACATTCAGTAGATGGTTACATCTTCTTTTAACGTTCAAGCAAAAGATATCAAAGATGTTGGATTGGAAGCTTCCTTTATGATTTCCCATTCCTGTTCTCGTTTTCCTTAGAAATATTGTATTTTCCAAATAGGACAAAATTATCCACATTCTTATGAATTAAAAGCATGAGAGCAACACTACAAAGAACAAACGTTTTAAAGATCAGTTAAGTGTTTTAGGTATCATACCTGCTTTCTTTTCATAGTTTCTTGAGCCTCAAGACCTGAGATAAGTGAAAGCCGTTTTTCTATCATGCTTGGTGATGGTTTAAGGATTCCACGACTCATTAGTTGATATCGATTCTGTTCATATATGTATTCTGGCTGCTTATGGTCTTGGTAGATCTTTAGCACTGGCTTTGGGGAGTAAAAGAGACAGATGATCCATGTTAACATTACTGTGAACTTGCTTCATTCTTCACTACCTTTGAGCTCTTGCCCTGTTGGAAATTTATCTACTTTCTGTACTAATTTCTGGTCAAAGTCACTGTACTAAAAACAACTACTGCCACTACCCCTCCCTGACACATTGCTCAAATAAGACTTTTCTACTTGGTTTCCAGTTTTGTTCTGTACCAAGGAACACATCTATGTCTAAGGTTATCACAGAGAAGTTTAGAGCCATGGAATCACATAGCTTGAGGTTATCTGTGACAAATTCACTACCACCTAACTATCAGAAGAAATAAACAGCATGCTGCATGCTGAAAGAAACAAGGGAAAGGCACTGGGGTACAAAATGGTGCTGAGAGTGGGGAACCCCAAATTTTCCAACAAACACTCAATGCTCAGTAGATCAGTCTCTCAAAGACTTCTGTTTTAAATAAGAGCAATGAAATTTTAATAATTACATTCAATATACTGTTGCATCTTCTTTTATATGTGCAAAAGAAAAGGTCAGAAGACACTGTATAGATGCTGAAAACTTTCTAATTTTTGTCTATTGTGCATCTTTTCTGAGATATGCAACTTTATCAACAACAACTTTGCTGTTAGACAGAATGCGTTTAGCTCTTCAAATCCCAATCTGTAGGTTTCAGAGGCAGACTGCAGGTGTCAGAGTACTGTGGTTCTAATAACCTTTCAAAGCTCAAGAGACGAAGGCCTGTCCTAGGGCAAAATCCCAAATGGGGAAGCAACTTTGGGGACAGAATATCAACTGAGTGAGCCAGACACGGTAACAGCAAAGAAAAGAGGATCCGGAAAATGGAGAGAAAGGAAATGGCACAGGAACCTCAGAAATCATACAGGCTTTTGTTGTGCATGTGTGTGCTGTGTGTTCAAGTGCACACAGGTAGAGGGCAGAAGATAACCATGGCAGTTATTCTCCAAGTGTTGTTCACCTTGTTTTTTTGAGACAGGGTCTCTCAGTGGCCTGGGATTGGCCAGGAGACTGGCTGGCCAGTGAGCCTGGAAATCCTCCTGTGCCCCTCTCTCCAGAACTGAGATTGGAAGCACATGCCATTCTGGCAAGATTTTTTTTTAAACTGGGCTCTGGGGAACTGAACTCAGGTCCACATGCTTTCAAGGCAAGCACTTTACTGACTGAGCCCATCACCTCAGCCCAGAGCTTTCTTTCTTTTTTCTTTTTCTTGTCTTGGATTTTTGAGACGGTGTCATACTATAACCCTGGCTGGCCTGGAACTCACTATGTAGACCAGGCTGACCTCAAACTCACAGAGATCCGCCTGCCTCTGCGTAGTGTATCCTAGGATTAAAGGCAAGCTATCTTTCTAATCAAGTAGTGAAACCGCAAAGGAAAAGTTGGAGTTTGAAAAGTGTTTTAGCTACCTTTCTTCTCCTCAAAAACAGTACCTAAAACTAACATCTCTTTATAAGTGCGTTGTAACCACAGGCAGCAGCAATTTTCACTCCCCATTGGGTATTTGGTAATGTGTCATTTTTTTGTTGTTCTACCTGGGGCTGACTACTACAATCTGATGGATGAGGTGGAGTTAAGGATACTTTAAAGCATATTTACAGTGAACAGAGAGGCCCCCATAATAGACTTATGTGGTTCAAAATGTCCACAGTGCCAATGCCCAAAGATTTTCAGGTTTCCTTGCTTTGTTGAACCACTTATTATAATGAAATGGCATTTATTTCTGGAATATTGTTTGCTCTGAGCTCTTCTTTGTTTACCAAGTTTTTTTTCACAAACACACCCTCCACATTTTCTTTAATCTGGAATTTAGTTTTTAGGATTGCGTGAGGTAGAACTTGATTTGCCCCTTATGAAAACAGCTGATTGATGGGGCCTGGAGACATGGCTCGGTGATTAAGAGCACTGGCTGCTCTTGCAGAGGACCCAGTTCGATTCCTAGCACCCACATGGTGGCTAAAATCCATCTGTAATTCTAGTTCCAGGGGAATCCCCAATCCCCTTTTCTGACCTCCTCAGGCATTGTATGATACAGGTGCACTTACACACATGCAGGCAATACACTCATACGTAAAAGATAAAAATAATAGATAAAAATATTTTTGAAAACAACCAATTGTTACAGCATTATTTATTAAACAGTTACTTCTTTACTCTATTAATTTTATGCTACTTATAAAAAATGTAAAGTTTTTATTTCATTGTGGGGTCTTTTCTCATGTTTTATTCTATCTGATTGGTTTCTGAGTTTATTATTAGACCATGTTTCTATTATCAAGGCTTAATTAAGACATCTTGATATCTAACCCATCAAATAACTTTCTATCTCTTTTCAAGACTGTGTAAATCATTTTTAGACCTTGTCTCTTTGACATGCATTTCATGATAACATTATCAAAACCCACGAGAGAGTCTTTGGGAATCTAATTCAGATGAATTCAGCTGGATCAACCAAGGAGTAGCTTTGCATCATTAACATTAATTCTGGTCTTCTATGAGTATGTTAGAGCTTTACTTAGGTCTTCTTTTGTTTCTCATTCAGGCTTTGTAAACATTTTTGCATAAAGTCAAAATATCACTTAAAATGGTGCTGGAGAGATGGCTCAGCAGTTAAGAGCACTTGCTGCATGTGCAGAGGATTCAGGTTCTGTTCCAAGCAACCACATGGCAGTTAACAACCATCTGTAACTCTAGTTCCAGGGAATCTGATGTCTTCTTCTGGTCTCCATGGGCACCAAACACATATGGTGCACATACATATAGGTAGGCAAAATATTCATACATACATATAAAATAAAAATAGTAAAAACTGGGTCTTCACCTGTAGAAGAATGAAACTAAACCCCCATCCTTCATCTTGCACAAATGGATCAAAGACCTCAATGTGAAGCCTGAAACTCTGAAATTGTTAGAAGAAAACATTGGCAATAACCTACAAGATGTAGGTATAGGAAAGGATTTTCTAAACTGGACATCAGTTGCTCAGGAAATAAGGTCAAGAATCAGCAAATGGGACCTCATTAAACTAAAAGGCTTCTGCACATCAGAAGAAACATTCAAGGAAGTGAAGAGAAAACCCACAAGAGTGGGAGAAAATCTTTGCCAGCGACACATCTGACAGAGGTTTAACATCCAGAATATGTAAAGAACTCAAAAAACAAAGAATCAAGAAAGCAAGTAACCCAATCAAAAGATTGGCTAAGAAACTGAACGGAGAGTTCTCAAAAGAAGAATTAAAGATGGCTAAGAAGCATCTAAAAAGCTGTTCAATATCATTAGTAATTAGGGAAATGCAAATTAAAACCACTTTAATATTTCACCTTACCCCTGTCAGACTGGCTAAGATCAGGAGAACAAATGATATCAAATGTTGGAGAGGATGTGGGGAAAGGGGAACACTCATCCACTGCTGGTGGGGCTGCAAACTTGTTCAACCCTTATGGAAAGCAGGGTGGAGAACTCTTAAAAAAACTACAATAAACCTACCATTTGACCCAGTTATACCACTTTTTGGCATATACCTAAAGATCATCCTATTGCAGAGACACCTGTACATCCATGTTTGTTGCTACTCTTTTCAAAATAGCTAAGAGATGAAAACAACCTAAGTCCCCTTCCACTGATGAGTGGTAACAAAAATGTGGTACATTTACACAATGGAGTTCTATTCAGCAGTAAAAAAAAGATGAAATAATGAAATTTGCAGGCAAATGGATGGATCTAGAAAGCCTGCACTACTATCCTCAGGCCTCTTGGGGTAAGTCTATAGCGCAGCTCTCCGCGTCGGGACTCCCTAAGCCTCATTCACCCTTCCTCCCCACCCCCCATCCCCCTGCCTCCCCGCCTGCTGTTCTATACTCTAGTTTGGACCCTGTGCCATTCCTAGTCTTGGGGCCCCAGACACCTGGGGAACCAATACTGCTTCCTGATCCTTCTCACCCAGAGCAACTCAGTCCCTTTCTTGGGCTCCAGGAGCACCGCTTCTGGTCCTGGCCCTGCCCTCATCTCCATCTACTTCCCTGGTCCTGAAACACCCGCCAGCCTCTTTCTGGGGATGACAGCCTCTTTCTGGGGCTCGGAGGCTTAACTTTACTCTCCCTGATCCTTTGCATCCAGTACAACCCAGCTACTCAATCCACTCCCTGGGAAATCTTGGGGCTTCTTCCCTCCACATCTGCCTTTGCATCCCTGTGTTGGCGCGGCCACGGCCAGGGTCTCAGGTCAGTGCCACCCAAGTACCTGAGGTCAAAAGCATTCTTAGAAGATTCCAGACCTAAGGAGAAAGTCTGAAAACTTCTGATCCACATTGGAGTTGGGCCACCGCGGAACTCCTGAAGACAAAATCAATCCGGCCTCGACAATATAAAATCAAAAGAGAGAACCAGAAGCTAAGACGAACCAGCTCTTCATACCCAAAAAATAAACCACAAAGACACATAAAGCTCAAAAATAAAAGAAGCAGAACGAAACTTGAAGGCCCGAGTATCACACAAGAGTCAGAAACTACAAAAGAAATTCACATGTCAAAATCACAGAGAAAAAATAATAACATGAAAAACCAAAATAAAATATCCCCACCAAATACCAGTAATCCTCTAGAGGAGCACAATGAGAATCCCCTAGAGACAATGCAGGACATGGAACTCAAAAGAACAATGATGAATATGAAAAAAAGAATTCAGTGAATTTAAAGAACACACAAACAAGGTAATCATAGAGCTGAAGGAAGATAGGGATAAACTTCTGAATGAATTCAGAAAAGAGCGAGAAATATTGAAGAATACTCAGGCTGAAATAAAGAACAAAGTGAAACACTCCATAAGCCAATTAGAAAAGAGCTGAAATGAAGAAGGAAGTGAAACACTCA